AAATAAAGGACTGTATTGGCCCCAATCATGGTACAGTTCCTGTCACCAGTCAAAGGAACTTCTGCTGAGTCACCAAGGGAAGTGATTCCCTTCTGGCCTGGGTAAAAATGGCTGCAGGGTTATTTAGAGATCACTGAGGCTTGTAGAGGCAAAAAGTCCAGTGCAAGCTGTTTACTAGGTCAGCACCTTCAGGAGCCACCTGCATGGAGCTGGCAAAAGGACAGTCCATTGCCTGGCTGGATAGTCCTTAGCTTAAGGCAGCCAGGGCCCCAAGAAAAGATCTAACAGCTACCAATTAGGAAGTCAAATCACCCCAGCCTCTAACATTTCAATATATTTAAAGGAATAGATAATAAACAGGGTACTTACAATAAAGGCTTCTTGCTAGCATTAACAATGTTTACTAGTATTCAGCAATGCTCTAGCAATGCTTAACTCCTGCCCCAGTGCCCAAGGGAGAAGTGGGTTCCTACCATCTGTTTATTTAGAACCCTTCTTCACATGAACGCTATATGGAAGTCCAATATGTCAAACAATTACATGTGGGGCTGTTCGAATTGGAATAGGTAGGCCCCTTTCCCACTATCTGCTATGAATTTTCCTCAGTGGCTCCTCAGAAGCCCTGGGTTTCTGCTAAGCAGTTTGGAAAACACTGGGCCAAATCAGTAGTTCTTAAGGTATAGTCCCTGAACCAGTAGCATTAGCATTACCTTGTAAATTTCTAAACATGTGACCTCTTTGGCCCTACCCAAGACTTACTAAATCAGCAATTCTAGAAGCCGAGCTAGAAAACTGAACTTTGACACATTCTCCAGTGATTCAGATGCCTGAAATTTTTGAGAAACAGTAAGCTATTCTGTCTGCCTTTGTAAAATAGAAGGGAGGGTCTGCTTTGAAAGAACATTTGAGGTTGAGATTGGGGGCTTTGAAGGGAGAAGGGAAAGCTTGGAACTGCCATTGGGAAGCCTTCTCTAATACAACAGAAACATGGCGGTGGCGGGGGGTGGGGGGTGTCAAGGACCAGGGGAAGTCCTAACCAGGGCTAGAAGTTGTCACTGCGCACACCCAATAATGACATCTATCAGAGTTCTCAGGATAGGAAAGAGGAGATTGGCCACTACAGGTGTGAGGGGAACAAATGACAGAATGCAACTGAAAGATGTGGGTGGTGGGTTCCAAGGCCAGACCTTCTCAGAATGTTCTGTTCAATTAAGGATGGGGCGGGCAGGAGGCCAGGTGCAGGGGGAAGTTGACTAAGGTCCAATCAATCACAAATGTAGCTTCAAGATAGAATAGTGGGACCTAAGCCAGGCAGAATCCTGTATCTCCCCTAGACTCCAGCCCTGCTACAGCTTAGCTTTTCCCTAAGTCCCTCCCATGTGGGAATTTTGCTGTCTTTTCAATGTACTCTGGGCTTGCTTTACTCTTATTTTCTCTATTGTTGTGCTGGGTGGGGGTACATTGTGGCATTTACAAAAGTTCTTACAGTGTATCAAATATATCATACTTGGATTTACCCCCCATCATTCTCCTTTACCCCCTCCCCTAGCTTCTATCATCTTATATGGTAATATAACATTGTCTTCACTGTCTCTTCAAAGGGCTATAATTTTGGCTTTCTAAAATTGTAGTGAAATGTGCGTAACATAAAACTATTCATTTTTAAGGTTGCAATTCAGGTATATTTTGTTGTTAGTACAAAAATGTCATTCTTCTATAAAATAATCATCAAAATATATTGCTGCAGGGAGGTGTACTTAAAAAAATTTTAAGTTGCTATCCTGTTTTGAGTTCCTAACTTTATTTTTTAAATGCTAGTGGATTGAGAAATTGAAGAAGCACTACTTTAAAGGAGAGTTGAGATTTAGAGTACTCCATGGGTGAAAAGAGGCAAAAACAAAGCTGTAGAAAGAGGAATGGGCAGGACATTTTTAGGGATGTATGAACTAGACTTGCTTCAGCAAAGTGCTCCTGAAAAGAAGCAATTACAATTGAGTTTTGGTCTGCTTTTCAATGTTTATTGCCTGATAATGTTCTGCTTATAGTAGAAACCCAATAAATATTTGTTAATTGAGATAGTAATCAGTTGAGTCAGATTCAGAAAAGCCAGAATATAAAATTTAAACTTCATTTCATAGACCAGAGCTTCCCAATAGATGTACCAAGAACAGGTAGTCAGTGAGTTAAAAGGTATTGTTCACACTTCAAGGGTGCCAAGGAGCCACATGTCCAGTCAGCTGCAGCCCAGGTGTATTCTAGTATGCTATACAAATATAACAATTGTCTGTAGGTACCATGAGTAGAAAAAGATGAAAAGCAACGAGGAGCCAGTAAACATAACAGAAATAAACATATTAGATGAAGGCAATATTTCTAGACCATTGCTATGGTTTGAATATTTTGTGTCCACCCAAAATTCATATGTTGAAGTCCTAACCCTCAAGGTGATGGTATTAGGAGGTGAGGGACTTTGGGGAAGTGATTAGATTACAGGGCAGAGCCTGCCTGCATGAGATTAGTTCCCTCATAAATAGGCCAAAAGGAACTCATTTGTCCTTTTATCATGTAAGGACGCAACTAGAAGGTGCTGTATGTGAGAAATAAGGCCATCACCAGACACTAATGTTGGACTTCTCAGGTTCCAAAACTATGAGAAATAAGTTTCTGTTGTTTATAAACTACTCAATTTATGGTATTTTTGTCATAGAAATACAAACAGATTAAAACAACTATTTACTAAGTGGTAGAGCACAAGGTGTATCCTAGACTCAAAGCTAACTCATTGGGGCAAAGATTTCCAAGGTATATATTATAGACATTTGATAACTGCTCCCCCAAATTCATTTCTTCCCCTTTTGGCTTATGAAGACTCCTAAGCCAAAGATTCTTGTATTTCTCTGAAATTGATCCAGGAAGCATGTACCCCTAAAGGGTTATTGGCAGCCATCCTTGGATCATGAGGATAGAGCCTGAATGAGAGTGGAAAGGAAAAACAGTGAAAAAGAAACTAGGTCCAACGCCCAGCATTTAAGCCATGCAGTAAGGCTCACTGTAGTCTACCTGACTTCTAGGCTGTCCAACTTCTGCTTAAATTCCTCTTTCTGCTTAAGCCACTTTGGGCCTTGTTTTCTTTCATTTGGAACTGAAAGATTCCTGATGCACTAGGTTAAAGAAATTCTCAGAAGTGGTGGGCATCTGTGGTAATCTAGCAATCTAGCATTCTGGGTAGAAGGTACCTATTTAAGAAAAAAAAAAAAAAAAGAGGAGCCAGAAGGAAAAGGAAGGGCTGAGCCTGAGCTTCAAGGTGAAAGAAGGGCATACCAAAATGGTTCTGTCATGACCACTAATGCAGTTAACACTACTGTTTCCTCCTCAGGGATGAGGAAGGCCCCCAACTCATCCCCAGAGAAATGATGCAACCAGTCACTAGATGGTAGCTGGATCAGCAAAAAAAAAAAAAAGCCAGGACAAAGCAAGGAGTTGCTTGAGCAAGTATTAGGGATAAAAAGAGGGAGCTACAAAATGGAGGCTGGAAGGTTGTAAAAGATTTTTTTTTTATTGTGAAAAAAAAAAAAGAGGACATACACAGAAACCTAGATCATAGGAGGTTGACATGACATAGGGGCTCACCATGATAAGAGTGTTGCTAAAACTTAAGGTGCTGTGACTAAGCAGGCAGCAGTTCCAAAACTCATGCTTTCCTTACTAGCTGTCTTCATTTGCCTCCATAAGCTTCCCTATCTTGTCTATAAATGAGCATGAAATTGACTGTAGAAATCCAAAACTCAAATGCAGGGAAGCCCCTAGAAACACTCATTATTTGTGGTTACCTTAGAAGATTAAGAAAATGAGGGGCTGGCAAAGTGTCGCTTTTTTTTCTTGGTAGTGCTGAGGTTTGAACATAGGGCCTGAACAGAGTGTCTCTGCTTACCAAGCATGAGGCCCTGAGTTCAAACCCCCACTGCCAAAAAAAGGATAATGAACCCCTGCCTCTCCTTTGTAGCAATGGTGAGTGAGGACTCACTTTGTATAGAAGACAGCCTGAAGCGGGCCGGGCGTGTAGCACTTGCCTGGCATGCTTGAGACTCAAGGTTTATTCTCAGAACGGGAAAAAATAAAATCAAAAGATAGTTTTAAGGGAAGTTAAAAGAGAAATCACGTTTTCTCTCAAAGAAATGGCTTTTGAGACGTGCCAATCTATTTACTTGGTTTCATCTGACAGAGCCACTTAGTAACTGTGTGTTGAATTGGTCCCACAACACTGCAAACTTTCAGGGTAGGGGAGAAGCACTTAATAGAACAAAATATTAATTCGACACAATGCCAGAGTTTGTGTGTGGCAATACTTCCCCCGAAATCAGACCTCACAGAATAGGGAGGGACCATCAGGAGCTGCGATGAGATGGATGTGACCCGTCTCTAGCCCTTTTGTTTAACCTTCAAACCTTCTCCACTGGGGACCGCATGTAAACCCCGCGGGCCTGGGTTGGGCACAGTAGCAAATCTGAGAAACAAAGAGACATCAGGCAGAAATCCCTTGGGAGTAGGAAGGAGAGCGACGGGACTCAGGTTTGTCGGTGGCGACTGTACCCGGTATTAATAAATAATAAGACTGTCTCACATTTATAAGGCACTTTATTGAAAATAACAATAAGCCATCTCCGTAAGTCACTCTAATAGTGGTGAGAATAAATAACCATAGCCTCACTTCTGCATTGTCACCTTGAATCTCAGCAACGCTATTTGCGCCTATCACCACCATTTGACAAGGAAAACTGGCTCCTAGAAGTAAAGAATTTGGATCTTATCTCAGAGGCGGCTAGACACGATCCCACACCTCTAAAACAGGAAGGAGCAGTGGTGTGGAGACTCCCTGCGAGCAGCAAAGCCACCTGCCACCGGGGGAGGACTAAGGGGCGGGGCGGGCGCGCAGGTGGCTGCGCCCCAGGAGGAGGCGGAGTCAGCCGACGGATCCCTCCCGGAATCCCGGGTAGCCCCACACTCCACCTAACAGAGAGCCCGCGGCGGTGCAGGCAGCCCTAGCGCTTAGTGCCCGCCACCACCTGTCACCAGCCCTGCGTCCCGCCGCCCTGCGCCCCGGTGCAGCCTGACCACCGTCCGCCCAGAGCCCGCCCGGCCGCCACGCTGCACGTCCGGAGTGCGCCCTCTGCCCTCACGGGGACAGGGGGCCCAGCCACCGTCATGCTGCCTGTCATCTACACCGTCCTGGCGGGGCTGCTGCTCCTGCCGCTGCTGTTGAACTTCTGCTGCCCCTACTTCTTCCAGGACATGCGCTACTTCCTGCAGGTGGCGGGCTTGGCGCGGCGGGTGCGCAGCTACAGGGAGCGGCGGCCGGTGCGCACCATCCTGTCCGCCTTCCTCGACAAAGTGCGCCGGACCCCGCACAAGCCTTTCGTGCTCTTTCAAGATGAGACGCTCACCTACGCACAGGTAGACCGGCGCAGCAATCAGGTGGCGCGAGCCCTGCACGACCACCTCGGCCTGCGACAGGGAGACTGCGTGGCGGTGTTTATGGCCAATGAGCCAGCCTACGTGTGGCTCTGGCTGGGGCTGGCCAAGCTGGGCTGTCCCATGTCGTGTCTCAACTACAACATTCGCTCAAAGTCTCTGTTGCACTGCTTCCAGTGCTGCGGGGCGAAAGTGCTGCTGGCCTCACCAGGTGAGTGCGGAACACCGGCCATGGCACTGGAGGGAGGGTGGGGTGTGTGTAGGGGGTGGTGGAGAGATAAGTGCATATTGGAGCTGGAGCTGTACAGAGAGAGGATGGCAGCGTTGCTTTGCAATGTTAACTAATGACCATTAGAACCACCTGTTGGAGATGCTGCGCCCCAGGTACTATGTTAAGCACCATAGTCCTCCTTCAGTATGGGGCGGGGAAGGGAATCGTTCCAGATACCAAAGGCCTTGGATATTCAAGTTCCTTATGTAAAATGTCATAGTATTTGAGCATAGCCTAAGCAAATCCTCCCGTATACTTTAAATCGCCTCTACATTACTTATAATAGCTAATACAACGTAAGAGCTATGCCAATAGTTCTTATGTTGTTTAGTGAAGATGACAAGAAAGAGTGTGTGTGTGTGTTCAACACACATGCAAATTTCCCCCAGTCATGTTGGTTGATCTGCAGATGCTGGAACCCAGGCCCACTGTGTACACAGTGTTGCCTTTAGTCCTCACAGCCGGTAGAGGTTACTATGGGACTTTTGAAGATGAGACTCACAAAAGAAGCCTCATGCCCCAGGTCACAGAGCTGCAGGACAGGGGTCACCAGGGGCATCCACCTCCAAAGTCCACTCTTTTAACCAGAATTTACCCACTCTGCATTAAAATGCAAAGCATCCTGAATGTGAAAACCTGTGAAGCCTGAGATAGCTCTCATCCTGCTGCCTGACTGGCTGTGATCAAAGGAAAGTCACTTTCCTCCTCTGCCCTTGAGTTTCCTCCCTGTCATGATGTAATCTTTAAGCTTGCTTCCAGATCTTAAGTGCTGTTAGCCTACCTGGCTTCTCACTGCAGACAGGTATTGACTGTACATGATGCCCAAGAAGACTTTGGGGATCTGCTACAGTGCCCTTGGGAGCCCCCATTGCATCTATAAAAACATCGAGCCTTCATTTGTGTGGTTACCTTTTGCCAAATTTCAACCACCAGACTTGAAATGGTTAACTTCATGCTAAAATGATCCCAGGCCAAGAAGAAACCCACAGAACTGACAGTTCTTCCCTCCCAATCATAGTCTTTGAACTTGACATTTTCCCCTCCCAAGGGCTTTTCCCCTTGCATTTTCTTCTCCCAGAGAGCTTATCTCTGCACTCTGAATCAAGGGTTGCTTCTGTCAATCAATAAGAGGGGGCCAAACCAGGTGAGGGCTGAAAGACATGAATGACAGGGCAGAGGGAGTGAAGAAGTCCACCCTTTTGGGGATGAATGCCTTCCTATGCCAAATTCTATACTGGTTGCTTTTATTACCCTGGGAGATACCATGTCATCATCCCATCCCCCACTATATAACGGAGAAAACTGAAGCTTAAAATTCAGTCTAGATTTGTCCAGCTTCAAAGCCCAGGTTCTTCCTACATCTTGCTGTTTTCCTCCACACTGCTGCAAAGGGTGAGAGCCAGAAGGAATCAAGCACCAACTCCTCCACTCTTTGTGTCATTGTTGGGGAAACTGAAGCAAACTAAGCAATTTGCCAAGTGCCACAGAAAAGTGAAATGTTGAGCCTCTTGTTTAAAGCCAGGAAGCTTATAAACCTGTTTCATGTGGCATAAATAAATAACCCAAGGACATAGGATTCAGCCAGGCACCAGTAGCTCATTCCTGTAATCCTAGCTACTCAGGAGGCAAAGATCAGGAGGACTGAAGTTTAAAGCCAGCCTGGGCAGATAGTTCATGAGACCCTATCTTGAGAATACCCAACACAAATAAAGGTCTGAGTGGCTCAAGTGGTACAGTACCTGCCTAATAAGCATGAGGCCCTGAGTTCAAACCCCAGTACTGCCAAAAAAAAAAAAAGTAAGCTTTATGTAAAAGTTTAAAAGCAGAGGGATAATTTTAAAGGCAGCCAAATTATTTGAGGGGTTTGGTTCTTTCAAGAAAATTCCTAACAATTTCTAGTTGCCTAGAAAAAGAGATAACTTTACTATTTCATAACTGGAAATTTCTCTTAAGCCTGTTATTTTACCAACTTTCTTATAGAAAATAACACAGCGATTTTTTAACACTTCAGGAAGAAGTTATCATTATTTCCTCCTTGGTACTCTTGGTACTTTTCTTTTCCTCTTGGCACTTTTCTTGGAGGGATTGTGTAGGGCTTAGAGTTTAATTGACAAAGAAGCTCAGAATTAAATGACTGTAATAGAGTTTGGTTTGTATTAAAGTCAAAAATACCACTACATACAGATATTCCTCATCCAAAATGCTGGGGGCCAGAAATGTTTTGAATTTCATTTTTTTTCAGATTTGGGAACATTTGCATAGCTATGAGAGATTTTTAATAATTTTGTGAATGATGCAAAGTTTCATGGTGTGGAGTTTTCCACTTGTGGCATCATGTTGACATTAAGAAAGTCTAGGTTTTAGAACACTTCATGTTTTCAGATTGGAGATGTTCAAACCAGTACCTCCTTCTTCATCCAGTCAGTGGACCTCTGACATACAGCATCATGTTTGCAAGGAGAGTATAATGAAATTCCTACATTCATTTCAAAGTGAACCAAACTTTCCAGTGGACTCCAGGCACTCTCTGGCTAAATATATTAAGCTGACCTTTGAGAAAGAACAACACACTTAAAAAACATCAGTGAAATACCTTTAAACACAATATAGAATTATATGCTGACCTAAAACAGTTAGTGCAAAGAAGAGCAAAACAGAGTCCAAAGTTTCATGTTTAGTACATGTGCCATGTGGAAATGTACAAACTAACCTTTGAGAGAAGCTACCCATTTGAAAAACATTGACTTTTTCCAAGCCACTGAGATACCTTTGTACGATGCACCCTGGCCTGGATCAGTTACTACAAAAGGGGTAATAACACAGTGTCCAAAGTCACATAGTATAGGTACTCATATGGAAATGTGTTGAATGGACTGATTCTTAGTATTCTTTGGGGCTGGAAGGTATCTTAGACGTATTTAATCCTGTAATCCTCTTACCTTAATGAGTGTTATACTTCCCATTCCAAAAATACTGATTCAATAGGACTTTGATGGGACCCAAATAAGTCCTACCTCAGTCTCAAATGATTTTCAAAGCAAATCAAAAGGCCTAGTTTTTGAGAATCAGTCTAGTTTCTACTTGTTTTATAGCTGACCAAACAAAAGCCCAGAGGGGTTATATCAGTTGCTCAGGATCAGGTGAAGAGTCAGCAAACACAGAGCTGACTCAGATTTTTTCTCACTTTCAGGTGCTTTTTATTCTATCAACCATCTGAACCTAGTATATCAGGGTGCTTTTGATTCTCTACTTTGAATTTCAGCCACAGGGCTCATGAGCTAGTAAGAGGTCCAACTGTGAGTCAAATTCTGGAGTGCATATATGTAAAGGACCAGAACGGTGGTATTTATCAAAGAGCAATCCAGTTGTCCTGACTTTTGGGCAGTCTTCTGAAGGGTTAACAGGGCTCAGTCTCATTAGAAATTTGAGTGCTCCATTACTCTTTCCAAAGTGACTATACTTTCAGAAAACCAAGGCTCACAAACACTTCTCTGAGTCAGAGAAACACTCATCTCTCAGGAAAAGCATCTTTAATTTAACACAACATTGGATTTTGTAAAAAAAAAAAAAATGCCCAAAACATTCCTGAACATTTGATCTGTTTGCACTTATGCTAGCCTTATGATCCTTGCTAAACTAACTCTGAATGGGATGGTAACCCAGGTCTCCTGGGCATCCCTTTCTCAACTCATTGTCTGGGTCTGCATTGCCTGGCTCACCATACCCATGCAAGGCTCCCAAAGGGTAGTTACTCTTTTATACAAGTATGTAAGGACAGTTAAAGATACTCTGTTGCAAGACTGAGACCCAGAGAGACTATCAAATGGTCCACATTACCTTTGACCTGGTTTTGTATGATTGCAAAATATAATATTAGATTTTATTTTAAAATGTGATGAAGGAAGATGCTTTCAAAATTATTTCATCATTGGGATGGTGGACTGGATCAAGTTGCCTACCTAGCAAGCATGAGGCCCTACATTCAAATCCCAGCACCACCAAAAGAAAATAAATTCATTATTGAAAGTTCTCAAACAGGTGAAGTTCATTATAAAACTAGTGTTAGGGCCAAGGATAACTGTTTTCACACAGATTTTTGTTGCCATAGTGAGGTGGGGAGATAAGATGAGTTAGTTCAATGGTCTTACAGTCTAGTAAAAGAACGAAACCACATATACTAATGATTGTGACACCCAAGAGAACATGATTAAGTCCACTGGGAAAGGTACAGAGTGCTTCTTGAGAGCATTGACAATGGGTCTGGATAAGTGCAATGGGGAGAGTTACTCCAGGCAAAAGGAGGACCAGAGGCAATTTTGACCAGCCCATAACACAATGAGATGCTTCACTAAATAGGTTTTTTGTTTGTTTGTTTGCTTGTGGTACTGGGGCTTGAACTCAGGGCCTTCACCTTGAGCCACTCTACCAGCCCAATTTTTCATGATAGGGTTTTTCAAGATAGGGTCTCACAAACTATTTGCCTGGGCTGGCTTCAAACTGTGATCCTCCTGATCTCCGCCTCGTGAGTAGCTAGGATTACAGATGTGAGCCACCAGTGCCTGGCTAATAGTTTTACTGTGTAAGAATAACAACAGGCCGGACTTCAATAATGATCACTTTAAACTGATTATTGAAAGGTCTCTAACGCAGAGAAAATAGGGACTCAGAGAATCCAAGGAGTAATCAGTGGCAATGGCCCCACTTTTGTGGACAAAGATAATTTTCTAATGACAACTTTAGTCCAGAACTAAGGCATAGAGATAATCTTTACCTCTGACATTCATTGTTTTATAATCTCCTCTTTTGTTGCCTTTCTGGGATGCCCACTTAAATTAATTGCTTCAATGCATGTGGTCTCAAGAGCCTAGAATTCGCTCATATATCTTTGAATAAGGCCTTGTGATATCTAGCATGTAGTTGCCACTCAACAAATGTCTGTT